CCACAATGCCCTTCATGAAGCTAAGGATCGCATCTGATGGAGGGAAATCGTACGGGAGAAACTGATGCAACGTCGGAGTCACGACCCTCAGTAATGAGGAAAACGACGCCAGGAGGGAGGCGTGCTGTGACGTGACCTTCTTCAAACGAGGCTTGTGGAGAGTACTAGGCAGCGGTTTGCCTTTGCCCCTGATATTGCTGAAGTCTTTGCGACTTAAAACACTCATCACCAGGTTGGCCGTATGCTCGTCTGTCTACAAGGGCAATAAAAAAAAGAAAAAAGAAAATATTGCAATAGATCAGCAGGCGACCTTGCCGTTCGCCACTCGCACACGCTTCAAGTTGCCTCGTAATGTGAACGAAGCTATTTACTGAACTGCGTTGTATAATATAATCGGGTTTTTAACTGTCTTATGTAAAACGACTATCGAATTCGCAGCCTGCTTCGAGAGGCCAATAATGTACGTATTGGATTGGAATCCTTTGAACACATTAGCTACTGCTTGACAGCAGAACTGGTGTGATAGTAATCGAATCATGCGAGAGGATTAAGAGGCAATTTTTTTAAATCAAATACTAACGCACCAGATATTTTTGTAAGCGAAACACTCGTAACCTAAATAATGAGTCGGAAACTGATAAGCCGAGCAATTTAAAGGACACAATAAACATAATTGTTCTCTTTGTTGATATCAATGTGTGGTGTGACTGGTGGTAGGGCCTCTTGTGAGTCCGCGCGGGTAGGTGGCACCCTGCCTATTTCTGCCGTGAAGCAGTAATGCGTTTCGGTTTGAAGGGTGGGGCAGCCGTTGTAACCATACTGAGATATTAGAACTAATATCTCAAGGTGAGTGTCGCATTTACGTTGTAGATGTCTATGGGCTCTGGTAACCACTTAACACAAGGTGGGCTGTGAGCTCGTCCACACATATAGGTAATAAAAAATAAATAAATAAAAGTCTGCATTGAGCTGGCCGGTTCGAAATCCGAGCGTAAGGCGGGGCCGTTATGTAGGGAGGCCATTGCTCTGACGCTTTCCGAAATTTTTGATTGCAAAAGCGGCGAGCATTGTCGCGAGGCTCCAGCCGCGAGCGGAAGTCGCGGTGAACGGTGCCTCGGCCTTGGAGCTCGGCCGCGCGAAGGTGAAAGTCTTGGCGGCCCGCAATTATTGAACCTCGACCCGCCATCCTCCTATTCGGGTTACAGCACACGCCGAATATGCTCCCTGACTTCCGCGTTCTAGCACCTGATACGCGACTTACTTTTTTTCCCTTATGATAGCCTTGAGAGGCCATATCAGCATTACCTTATACCATATTATACTGGTGGTATGACCTCTTGTGAGCCCGCGCCGGTAGGTACCACCACCTTGCCTATTCCTGCCGTAATACGTAATACGTTTCGGTTCGAAGGGCGGGGCAGCCGTTGTAACTATACTGAGACCTTAGAACTTATATCTCAAGGTGTGTGGTACATTTTCGTTTGTAGATGTCTATGGGCTCCAGTAACCACTTAACACCAAGTGGGCTGTGAGCTCGTCCACACATCGGAGCAATAAAATAAAAAAGCCTAGCATCTAGGTGAGCTCTCGGGGTTCAAACCTGAGGTGTTGCTAAGACTGGCCCTAGTCAGAGCAGTACTTCGCAGAATCTACAATGGGAATTGCGACCCACTGAGAAGATCCGGCGAGATATTCAGTGGGCTGTTTCTATGGGTTAATTTACTCGCCGAGCCCAGCGTCACAAGCGACGGGTACAGCGAGGATGGTGACCGGTGCTTGAGGTACATAAAAGCACCATTAATGGATCGGGATTCGTAATGACGTGCTTAGGGCGACGTCGCCTGTTTACCATTCGGTCCACAGGATCGGGTATGTAATATACGCGACGATATTGATACAAAGATACGCAAAATTCGTCCAAATTTTTTTTAAATCTTACATATCAGCTGTCGATATAAAATACCTTTTTTTTAAACAGTCATACACAACGTATTAGTTAAACGGTGTCAAGTTTTGCATTGTTCCTAATTAAATTGTGTAAATAGTTTAAGGCCGCTTATATTTAGTGCATTATCAATTTATAAATAGTCTTAAATTATTATTGTACACCTTCAAGCATGATTGAATGTGGCCATCTGAGGGTCGATGTAACATCTGTTCGTCGCAGTTTGGCTTTTATTCAAATTCAAATGTATTCGACGACACAACGCAATCTCTTTCGCCTTATGCAATCCTGGTATTTTCTTTACTAGATATGACACTGTTATAAGACTTCCTAACTGCTACTTATCTGTCTATACTTAATACAAAGTGCAGTAGAAGGTCGTCAGGTCATTGAAGTAATTTAGAAATACAGTACATATTAGCATCAGCAATTCGATATTTTTGATTGAACATAAATTAAGTTTACTGTATTGAAATGTAAAATCTAAAGAAGTTTTTTTGTTATGTATTTTTTCCAAATTTTCAACATTAAATGGCTCTCTTGTAAAGTTGCAAAAATGTCGGTTAACCCAAATAGCCATTCTTCATCACTCGATACATACACATATTTGTGAGGTACAACCGCTTGGATGCTTATAATAATGGATAAAGATACTCTGTATATCTCCCTCTCTCTATATTTAATAATTCCAGTATTTTTTAAAGCTTTTATGAGCGGCAAATTGAATTAAATGACGAACACATAAAAGCAATGGGATTATTTTTGTAAATTAAAATTACATGGCAGTTAGTGCAAATTTCAAAGTTCTATGTACAAATACATCATCGTCATCCGTGACTAAAATGACAACGGAGAACTGGTCACGTCGCGGCTTGTCTAAAATAATGAACGGTAAAAATGTTTTTTTATTCGATTTCAATCAATTGAATCATAAAATCGAGATAAATTATGTATAATGGTATATAAATAAGTACTTGGTTCATTTTGGAAAAGACGCATGTATAATATTTGATGTCCTTACATGCTTGCACACGATGCATATGTTTTTTGTTATTATTGTGATTATTAGACAATGCTATAGGGTTCTTCGTTATTTAATTAGATTTCGTAAAACACTTATTGCTTATAATAATGTGAAACTAACATCGTTTACAAAGTGAGTGATAATGCTAAGAAACTAATGTAATTAATTATTCATCATAATAAATTGTATAGAACACCCAAAATACCAATAAAGAGACGAAACATTTTAATGTCGGGTTCAGTAGCAATTATAAAAAAAAAATTTTTTTTGGTCACTTCCATAAAAAGGATTTTTTTTTCTCTCACAGACTGGTCACAAGTCATCACACCATGTATTTGCTTAGTTGCTGATTTTATAACCATCAGATTAAGTCAATTATAACCGGATTGAATATAAAAGCGATACAGTGGATGTTGATTCACGCAACTCAAAATTCTAATCTGTGTTTTGACATTCAATCGAATGGTTGAAAAATCAGCCAAAAGTAAGTTTTTATAGGGTTCTCGCAATCATGTATGATCAAAAAGTTTTAGTTTCCATGTTCCCAACACGTTCTAATAACGATTGGACGTCTGACGAATGAAAAATTTATAAATGAAACGAATGACTGTTAAAATGTTTTATGCGATCAGATTTATCGCGTATCAAAATACATCTAATTCGAAAGGAACGTTTACAGGAAACAATTTAACAATATTATCTACTATTCATATCATAAACAAAGAGCTTCACTTGTGCGCGTTACGTGAATTTTTCAATAAAAATTTCAGACTATTCTTTCAAGACTTTACTTTTTGTTGCCTTTACGGGTGATTGAGCTCACGGTTCGCTTATTTTAAAGTGATAAACGGAGCTCACAGACATCAAATGAGTGCCGCCTCACATCCTGTGACATTAGATTGAAGTCTCAATAAGTTTCCACCCTTCAAACTGGGTTGCATCACTACTGGGCGGCAGAAATAGGTATGTTGGGTCATAGCAACTACCTGTTCGTCATAGTACTCGTTGGTACCACCTATTACGCAAATTTACAAATTTGGCTAGTCTTATTATGCGAAGCTCTCCCTTCGTCGTGGAAGTCGTTCGTGTACACTACCCTCAGACACAGCCCACTGAGTTTCTCGCCGGATCTTCTCAGTGGGTCGCATTTCCGATCCGAAGTACGGCTCTTGCTAGGGTTCGTGTTAGCAACTTCGTCAGGTTTGAGCCCGGCGAGCCCACCTACTAGTTAAGGTTACGCTGAAATAGCCTCTCACGGCTCTCAGCTAGGTAGGAAAAAAAATTGTACAGATGCTATGCACGTATTCCCTTAGCAAAAGATGCGAGTATAGCACCCAGTCTTTTGAGCTACGATCTTATTAAAGTACTTGATGATTTTATGTCCTTCGGAACAATTACGATATGATAGCTAACGATTGAGAAGAAAGAACAACTTATTTAACAATAAACATACCATAACGGGTCAAATAATCCATTTTGAACTTTTGCATTGAAAATGCGCGTATCATCTTATTACTTTTGCGCATTTGACTTCAAGACTTTTTCTTACCAATTAATCTACAGTTGTTATACAATTTTTTTATTTTATTTTGTTTATTTTGAGTAATACTTGTCGTATACCATCATCTACCCGCTATGGTAGAAATAGCTACCAGTAAGCGTACATTTTATTAAAAAAGAAACTCGCCATTTAAAATCAAAATAACCGTAACGAAAGAACCTAGGGAAAATAGACAAAAAATGTAATCATTAACGTTCATATCTTTTCGAGTTGAAAGTCCATTTAAAATAGCAAAGGAAAGTTGATTTCATTGTTTCAAGGCACGTAATGGAATCACGATATTAAAAAAAAGGGTCACGAAAACTGGCACCCTATAAATAAAAATTATCAAAAAGGCACACGGATTACAGTGAGGATAATGAGGTATCCTTTGCAAAGGAGCATCCGAAGCCCGCCTGCGCGCCCTCTGTAAATCACCAGAACTTATGTATGGTGTGGAACATTTGAGGCCAGAAGAGCAGTTCGGCGTGCGAAGCCGTCGCTGGCACACGTGTCGGACCCGTCCCGTCCCCCTCAGTTATGTAGTGCTGCTCCGCTGTTTGGACAAGTGCTAAGTTGATCGTTTCATGCGATACAGCTCGTTGAGGTTGGCATTATGTTTAATATGAACGTTTCGAGTTATTCAGTGATGTTACATTTTTGAAATCGTTCGAATTTTAAGTGACATTTTTTTTTTAAAAGTGATTCTAATTATTATTTTTCTGTGGATTTCACATAGGACTTAATTGCAAGGTAATTTTTGAATTTTTATATACATTTTTTTTTTTCGTTTTAATTTTTTCGCTTGTGTTATCTGTGTGATTTATATTTATCTGTGACCTCGAATGTTAACTTCAATGATTTCTAGCAAATCTGGCGCCAAAATATACGTTTTATCCGTTGCGTGGGTACATTTTTTTGTTCCTTTATTTTTTACTTACAAATTACTTATTAATCAAATTGATAAATGTATAGGAACTGCTGTCTTTTACACATATAAAATAAGAAATAAAGAATTATATACCAAAAGTGTAAGATTGGTACTATACTATTTTTATATTAATTAGAAAAAAATTAAGTACCTCCACATAACGTATTTTTAATAAATGCTTAGATACGTAAATGAATTGGTTTGAAAAAAGATAATCCAGCATTATTATTCATAACAACTTTTGTACGTAAAAATTATAATTTAAATTCTTATCAACTAAATACATTAGTGTCGCTACTTTTGTTTCGAAGTGCTGTACAAACTAATATACAGTTTCTTTGTATTCAATCAAAGTAAAATAGTATATGACAAAGTTATCTAAATTATTCNTAGATACGTAAATGAATTGGTTTGAAAAAAGATAATCCAGCATTATTATTCATAACAACTTTTGTACGTAAAAATTATAATTTAAATTCTTATCAACTAAATACATTAGTGTCGCTACTTTTGTTTCGAAGTGCTGTACAAACTAATATACAGTTTCTTTGTATTCAATCAAAGTAAAATAGTATATGACAAAGTTATCTAAATTATTCGATTGACGCTTGGCTTAGACTATTAACTAATTGTTTAAAAATCATATTTTTCAATTTCTACCTGACCAAGCCCTTTTGTTCACTGCGCATATTGCCGTCTCTATCGTTTTCGCGCGTCAGAGCGAGACGGGAGATTACTGATTCGAATCGGAGCTTTCAGAATAGGGACACTTTTATTAAACTTGCTTTTGGTGTACTTTGACGATATTTTCATAGTCTGACTTGATTTGCTTAATTCGTGTGATGCTTTACGTTTAAAAAACAATTTTTGGATTTTTAAAAGATGGCTGCTTATATTTTTTTCTTATGTTATTATGTGCATTCCCGTATGACTTAACATTAAGTACGTAAAATATCGTTGACTTTGCTTCTACAAAAAAAAAAAGAGAAATATGTAATAGAGAATTTTTTTTTACATTAATAATTTTTTTTTTTTTTTTAGTCACAAAACATGGGTATTGAATTTTAATCGTTCACTTTTAGCATAAATTATAAATCGTTAATTTCATTCGAATCCAATTATATTCTTTTTGTTAGAGCATCTGTGCAAAAACGACTGCGAAAGTATGATTGCCGCCAGCTAACGTGGTAATTTTCTCGAGATATAGCTTTGATGTTTTACTAAATATGAAAATGATGAAGATCCAACGAACCTAAACTGATTTATTTTTATTTTCTTTGACATCTCCAATGTTCAATACATGATATCGACACTTGAAAGGCAAACGTGACTAAGCGCCAATAACTGCTTTGTACATAAATGATAGGCATGAGTAAAATAATTTCTAGCTCTATTAAAATCATTTCAATCCTACAGCTAGATTCGCTAAAATAAAAAAAAAATCAGGTATTTCACATGTATATTTTAAATTAATTACAACTTTAAATTAGTCAACTGTAAAGTTCACGCATTGTCGCTTAGTCACATTTGCCTTTCAAGCGTCGATATGTACAACTTCAATCACTCTACATCAATTAGAAGCGATATTATTAATTCAGTAATATAAGACTCCACAGTAATATATTTTTTGAACCAAATTTAAAAATCTTAATAAAGTCACTCTCTAACTTATCGCCCGCGTAAGCTATGTAAGTTTAATAAGAAGACCTTTTTCTTTATATTTCTTCGCGTAATTTGTAATGATTCCTTTTTAAACTCACAATTCTGTCTAACAATTAACAAAAACTCGGTAATTAAAACAGAATCCATTGGTTTATTGTTTCGTGAAAAAACAAAAAAAAAACCTTTTTTCGCTTTAACAAAATAATCTTTCTAAAGGATTTTATATGTGCTTTGTAATGTAACCTTGGGATGGCCAAGCTTTTTATTACACTCTCAGTCTGAATACAAACCGACTTATTTTCATACGAACATGGCTGGTAGTAATTTTCGAATTTTGTTTTTTCTGAAAACAAACAAAAATGGTTATTTAAAAAGGATTTAAGTACCTATCGAAAAAAAAACCTTTATACTTTGAAAAGTCGGTACCGTTTTAAGAGGACCTAATTTTATTTTTATTGGTTTGTAAAAACTTTCAATGAGCAAGAATCTTCAATCGAAGCTTGTTGAGAATACTTGACGGTAGGCAGCGGCTTGGCTCTGCTCCTGGCATTGCCAAAGTCCATGGGCGATGGTAACCACTCACCATCAGGTATGCTCGTCTGCTTACACGGGCAATAAAAAAAAAACCTAAATAGACGAAAGAGGAAAAGATATAAAAAAATTAAAAAGAGTAACTTGCGCCTTAACAAGGAAAAAGGTATATATAACACAGAACACAAAAACACAATATATATTATCATTGACAGAATAATTACGGATAAGCTTATAATCCATTTAATCAGGTGACAGTTCCAACTGTCACTGATTTAAACATTAATGAATCGTTAACAACGATAGAAAATAACTAAAGGTGTAAGTTAATTACAAAAGTCTTAACATAGTCTCTTGGAAATGTTAATTCTAAAAATGTAAATGAAGACACCTTGATTGTAGTAAGACTTTAAGAGAACTGTGTACTAAAATCGCGAACGTAGCCAAACAATTTCCTATTTTTTTCTTAAATGAGAAGCAATCATGCCACATCTAGAAATCGTTTGCCATCAACGTCAATGGGGATCCGAAAAAATGCAATTAAAAACAGATATTTTTTTTTAACAAATAAATGGAGCAGAAAAATATGGGTATGGTAAACAAACAAACAAACAGCCGACGGGTAAACGAGCTCACAACCTATTCGATGCTAAGTGATTGTCAGAGTTCATATAAATGTCGAACTCTTCTTTTACGTAATATATCATAAAGCTTATCAACAAAATTTATGACTGCGGTAATTAAATATATATTAGTTACAGGCAATGAATATCATTGTGTAATAATGTGACGCTGTAATTATAAAAGTTTATTAAGATGCAATTCATTTCCATTCAGCATTGTTTTAATAAAACAAATGATTTTTCAAACATCCGTTGATTTTTGGTTACTTCATAACATTTTTTATTAATTATTTAAATTCATAATTATATTTTAGAAATGTCACATTGGAAAATAATATTTATTACTATAGTAATACTTAATGCATTTAAGTAGAGTTCAGCAAAAAAAAAATTGATTATTTTCTTGAAATTTTGTTATACTTATACAGACGACTCAAGTTATTTATTTACATATTAGTTGAGCAGAAAAATTAAAATTTATTGTAATACATGTTCCGATAAATGACAGTACATTTGCCATCCTTTTTGCATTAAGCGAAATGAGTCCTAAACAAGAAAGGGACGGCAATATACCCGAAGAATTGCCTATAAATCTCGCCACTAACCCAGCCACGCCTACGAGCCGACCAAGACAGAACGTTAATGTGTGTTTAGTTGTTTACAGAATTTCTGTACTTGTTAGCACTGTTTGTTTATAATAAACAACTTCAGTCGCATTTGCATCACTGGTTAATTGAAAATCAAGAGCAGTACCCATAATTTTAGTGAGATTTATTACGTTGCGATGGATTTAATTGCAAATAGAAAAAATACATATCGTCGCTGTCAAACAAAAATTTGCTATTTGCAAAAACCTACAAAAACTCTATTTTGAATTAACGAGTAAAAAACAATTCGNTTGTTTATAATAAACAACTTCAGTCGCATTTGCATCACTGGTTAATTGAAAATCAAGAGCAGTACCCATAATTTTAGTGAGATTTATTACGTTGCGATGGATTTAATTGCAAATAGAAAAAATACATATCGTCGCTGTCAAACAAAAATTTGCTATTTGCAAAAACCTACAAAAACTCTATTTTGAATTAACGAGTAAAAAACAATTCGTATAAAATTTTATATGAAGGTGAATTTTTAAGAACTATATCAAATGAAAGCTATAGATAAATATTAAAGGTATAGACCATAACAGTTTTTTTTATACGTCAGATAGGGCTGTGAACTATACGAAAAGGTCAAAAAATATAAATCTCAAAAAGTGCACATAGCAGATTTTGGTTTGACAACAACGACATGTCGTTCTTCCGAAATTGTAATGTGCAATAAAGATAATTTTGGACCAAGACGTTTTCTAAAACTCTCAAACTTGATGATAATATTACCAGCAAATTTTCCAATTACTTCTCCTCTTAAAACCTTCAAATAGATATTCTACTAATATATATAATTTCAATAAGCTTATAACAATATCAATAAAAATTTGAATATTTAAACAAATTTACATACTAAGGCATTTCTTTAAATTTAATTATTATGTTAATTGATATGTTCTCGTACAATACTGAGTATTACGTTAATACATACTACAGTTATCTACTTTAATCACAAGACAGAAACTTAATCCCGTTTGAAACACTCAAAGTGCCGAAGAATTCCGCTTCGGATTCGACAGTGGTATTTACATTATCAAACGATTGTAACACATGTCATCTAGTTAATTGTTAGTTGTTTTATATTGTAAGAGCAATATTAATGATGTAACCACAAACGAAATAAGATATTTAGTGAAATTGAGTGCCTACTCACTGTAACAATATAAATTTTTAGACTAATCGAGTTCCAATTAAAACTAACCAATATATTTTTTGTGTGTATTTAGATGTTTAAATATCATAATTAAACATTGACTTTTACTTACTTAGTTTTATCATGATGATACGAAAACAAAATAACGTGGAAATTTTTCAATTTTATTTATCTGAATAATGTATATTAATAAATAGAAT